AGGGGCGTGGTCTGGGAAAGAGGAGTCGGCTTACCTTGGGCTTGACGCGGGTCTCGCTGACCTGCTTCTTGGCCACAACGAAGTCACCGGTCTCCTCCCCACTTTCGGAAGTGTCGTCCATGACAATGACGGACGGGGCTACGAAAGTGTGAGTAATCGACAGAGGGGGCAAGAGGAAGAACGCACTCAAATTCGATCGCGCTTTCCCCTTGGACTTGGGCCCCTGTCAAAAACAAACCAACCATGAGACGAAGAATCGCGATCGACGAACTGGGTCACTTACCTGCAGGGCCAGCTCGTCGGCCGATGACGCGTCTCCCTCCTGGACCCCCTCGTCGTCGACATCCATCGCAGTGTCGGCGACGGCGGCGGCTTCCTCATCGCTGAGGGACTCGGGTTGCACGGGCTGTGCTTGGATCCGGGCTGGGAGGGACCAAGTGGTTAGTCTCAGGATCAAAGAAATAAGACATAGGGTGCACACACCTGCGTGCGTTTTCTTGGGGACGCGCTTGGGGGGTGCCTCCTGTGAAACAGGGACCGGAGTAGCGGCTACAATAGATCAGTGCCCGCGACTTCGGTGAACCGAATGAAAAGGCCACTTACGAGTAGGCGCATGCGACGATGCCTTGGGCTCCTTTGCAGGAGTCGCCTTGGGTCGCTTCCCCTGCGGCTTCTCGCTCGACTTCTTGGCGACGGCGACCTTGCTGCCCGCGACGGCGGCAGGGGCCTGCGGCTTGGAGCCGTCACCCTTCCCCTTCTGCTTGGCAGGCCGGGACGACGAAGGGGCGGCAACTTGTTCGGTTGGAGCCGCCTGGGGGTCGATCAGAACATAGTAAACGAATGAAACAGATTACACGTACGGGCTCGACGACTCGCTTGCGTTTCTTGGGCGGCGACGACTCCTCGACTGGAGCGTTGGTGGTCAAGGGCGCAGGCGCCGGCTAGCCCTTACGTTAGTGAAAAGAATGGAAGGCCAAAGCGAACAGACGCGGCAATCATTGATCGCCGTGACTATTCGCTCCAGCGGGCTTAAGACGGAGCTCACCTGTTGGATCTGGCGGACGTCGACGGCCATCTGCCGCAACATCTGGTTGTAGGCCTCGGGGCTAGGCAGGTGGTGAGTTGAGTCGACAAGCCATGGGAGAGACCTTGACGGACGGCATGAACTGCCGCCAGTCGATGGCAGGCAGGTTTGCTCCCGAGACAGCTGATTCGGTGACGGCTGATGGATGGTTAGCGTGGTTGAAAAGTCGCGGTAGCCGTCTTGGGCGTCACTCACGGTTGGTGTCTTGGGGGCGGGGGCTCTGGTCGGGCGCGGACATGGTGGTCAAAAGGCAAGAGTGTCTCGTACTAGGGAGACTCTCGACCCTGAAAATTGAGGGCATTTATATGGTGAACATGCCGGAAGAAGTTTGATCGCGGCAGATCACGGAAGGAACCGAACAACCAAATGAATAAGACGTGGGAACATAACTCTATGTCTCCGCGGCTTTAATAATAAATAAACGAGACGTCGACTGTTGGACTTAGACCTGACGCAGTGAGACTGTCGCGGGATTGACCAGGAGGTCAAAATTAGTGTTCCTGGGAGATGATAGGCTGGCTACCAGACGCGCTCTGCACCAGCTCTGTAAGGGCGTATTTTTGCGCTTTTTACAGAGTTTACTCTTGAACCACTCGGTGTATCGTGTCGCGGTTAACAGTGTTGCGCTCAGTAGGACTTATGGGTCTACTGCCCAGTCGACGACTGTGGATAGTGTCGACGATAGCAAAGCAGTCAGACCACTACTGTGGAACTGGTCTTATGAGTCTACACCAGGCTCAGGGCCATTAGTGACGAACGCTTGGACCGCGACCATTCCCCAGAAAGGGGATCTGTCGTTGCGTCGACTTCTCGAAAAGGGACATTCTCTGCAGATGGGAACTTGGGCTGAAGGGCTGAGCAATGCGCGACGTTCTCAATAATAGAACTACTACTGGACAGGACTTGGCGTTACAAGACTTAAACCATCTTGTTGCGGCAACTCCCGGTTTTGAGTTGGACGTTTCCTCAGATCATGCCACGACGACGACTTGTCACATGTCAGGATCCATTCGATCACGGGACATTGTGGACGCGTCGCGGTGACACTTCCAAGTGTCACGGCGAGTCGCGCCCATACTCAAACACACTAAAATCGATACGGCTAGATCCGTGAACCGAGCCATGTGGGAGACGATTGGCGTGCCTAGAGCCATACGGCTTCTTGGGGCGCCCACGTTGGTCTCACATGCCAAGACATACCCGTTGGCCAATCCTGCACGTCGTATTCCAAAAGTATGACGCGGTGAGTTGGCCCACATCAAAAGTATCATATGGACAATGGGGCGGGGTCCTGATCACTCAGGACCTGTCCGATCGTTCAACTTTCAATTACCCTAAAAGGCAACCGATCTTAGATAGCGTAGCTACTATGCAGTTGTACAGGACTTTACTAAGCAGCGTCGTAGACAGTATAAGTAGCACGTCGTCTCTTTGTATTAGGGGAGCTTTCCCCCGGACTGTGAATCACTCTCATTTCAGATTGTTTTGTACAATTTGCGTGTCGCGTGATTCCACCCTAAGAAGTTCTGCCATCCCTGCCCGGTCGCGACGAGCTGCTCCCTGAGCACTTGTAGCTACTGTGATTTGAGTTTGAGTTGAGATATCAGAAAGTCGGGTTCGCCGCATCTGGTATTGTCGCGGCATTTAGTGTCGTCGCCTTCGGGCTTTGTTGAGATCGTTCCACACCTCTAGCTTGGCAGTGCGTCGACTAGTTGTGCTCGGGTTGTTTTGGTCAGTTGGCAGTGCGTCGACTTGAGAACTTTGGTTCCACACTCCTTGCTTGGCAGTGCGTCGACAAGTTGTGCTCGGGTTTTGGACATTGGATATTGGCTGTTAGTTGGCAGTGCGTCGACGCGGCATTTTGGTTTACTAGTTGGCAGTGCGTCGACTCAGTACTTTTGGTTGTGTCAGTTGGCAGTGCGTCGACTCGACATTTTGGTTTACTAGTTGGCAGTGCGTCGACTCAGTATATTGGTTGTATCGGTTGGCAGTGCGTCGACTTGATATTTGGGCTTTGCGTCACCATCTAGACGCTGTCGCTACAAGGGATCTTAATACTTCGTATTAAGCTCTGACTTGTTATATTGTTGTTGTGGATTGGATTAGTGTTGGTTGTGATCGTATAGAAGATATTGGTTGAGACACCATTGTTTGCTATATATATATATTCTTGTCGTCGACTCCGTCTCCGCGACTATTGGATCTGCGTCTATTGAGAGTTGTGATACTGGTGCTCTGTCCACCCCGAAGCCCTCGCATCTTTCACACACTGAGAAGCTGATTACGAGGAGTGTGAACGTGTTTATATTTGGGTTTACTTTCATAGTAGATTCACTTGTGAGCACGCCCTCAGCATTTCACCGGGCCTTCCCTAGACACGTCAGAAGGAACGTGCGTGTCTCCTCATGAGGACCGATTCTCATCCTTAGGTCGACATAATGCGTGATCCGACCGCTGATGTTCTCGGTGTTGTTGGCGTTACGAGCCACAATAGGTTGTGGAAGCTCTTGGATATCCAGCTTCTCTGCCCGTGCATAGTCGGTATCGATGCAACAGGTACTGCAGCCGCTATCGAGCAGCGCCCTGACTCCGCGTGTTTTCCCCAAGTCCAGACCCGTGATCTGGACATATACGTCCATTGAATGCCTCTTTCTTTCGGCCTGGTAATTGCGCAATTCCTGCGCTAATCTGCTGGACTGGGGGCCCTTCTGTTTCTCGGCCGCCAATTTTCTCTGGATGGCATCTGGCACCTTGGTGCGTTTGGGTGCTTCTGGAACCTCGATTTCGGCAGATTCCTTAGGCGCTTCCTCCTTTTTCAAGGATCGAGCCTCTGGAGCAATGCTCCCCTTTTCGGTCTTTGTTGACGTGGTTTCTTCTCCACGAGCCATAAATACGTAGGAGTCCAAAAATAATTTGTCCGCAGCCGCTATCTTCTGATCCTTTTTATTTTGTAAATATTTTCTATTTAAAGCTATCTTTTCTTTACGTTCCTTTTCCATTTCGGCAACAAGAAAATCATGAATATTTGTACGTAGTGAGTCAGGGAGCGTGTATGTATGATGAGGCATATTGTTCGTATCTTTAATTGAAACAAGTACAGAAAAACGTCCATAGTCCGGGCGCTCCACCTCCTTGGCTAGAGGAGTGGAGCGCTTCAAAAACCCTTCTCGCGCAGCTTCTCAGCGATCTCCTTGAGGAACTCGTTGTCCTTGTCCCCGTTCTCGATCTCTTCCAGCATCGTGGCCCGATTGAAGAATGTGCGCTTCTTCCTTGGCTCTGGACAGTTCCGCGCAATGTGCCCGGGCTGTTGACAGTTGTAGCAGATGATATTGCGGCTGCGAGTATGGGTGCGATCGATTTCCATTGGGACTGGCTCGTTGGCAGCGGGTCGGGCCGGAGCGGGTGCAGGCATCGTTGGAGCAGCCTGAGGGCGGAATTGGGGAGGTGGTCGTTGCGTGGGGTGCCCGTATGATGCCTTGCGCAGCTGGTCACGAAGAGCGTTTGCCTCAATGTTGACACACCAGTCCTTGAAGGCGCCATACACCTTGGGCAGGGGGACACCAGTGTTATAAGATAGGTGTCAGTCACTGCCATCGAGCGGGCACGTGACTTTTGTGACAGGATCTTGGGCTCGACACCTCTCTGGGACGGTAACATTACTTTCATATTAGAATCCAAGAATGTGTTCTAATAGCTGTCTACTATGATGTCTTGGTTGTACTTTCCCCAATATTAAGCTGTGGACTGAGTAGTACACCCAAAAAGTTTCCCCTTTTCTTTCATCGCGAAAAGCATCAGAAACCAATTTGGGCAAGTTTCGATCCAGGCGAGGCCGGAAATTGGCCGCGTTACCGTGACGTTACCATGACTCACGTGATCGATTGATCGCATCTCGGGCCTTACCTTTTGACCACACATGCCTCAATTAAAGCGACGCCGAGTGGCTCAGAACCTTGGATCACATGCCAAGGTGAGATTCTGTTCAATTTGTGCCGTCTAATACTGATTCTGAGCAGAAAAAGATCAAACGCTCTGAGACACCTGTCTCCAATCACAAACGAGATGACGACACCCAATCTCGGGCTTCCTTAGACGCCAATCGCACATCGGAACTGGCATGGGAGAAGCAAAGCATCGAGTCCAACGAGTCCGAGGAGTCCGACGTGTCTGTGGTGGTTGATGATGTGCCTGAGCTTGCGGACGGCTTGTTGGCGAGTGCTCAGACAAAGCTCAGAGTCCTGATGACTCGGATGAAAATCGGCACTGCGCGTGGAAATTATTACAAGTCCAGTGTCGGAGGCGTTCCTGCAGCCCGAACAGAACATCTTCATCGAGCACAGCAAGCAAAGATGAAGAAAGCTCACGGGGGAGGAATTTTGTCATGGCTGAAGCCAAAAGAACTCGGTACGCACTGCCAAATCTCCTCGTTGTTGCAAAGCAATCTGAATTGTTGTTTTAGTGTCCATGCCCTGCGAAGAGACTGAACGAGACGACGAGCAGCAACTCCCGGACTCTGATGGCTCGGAGAGTGCAAGCTTGCTTGATCGCCCTGCATCTCCAACTCCGAGCGAGAATAGTGGTCTGGCTGAGGAGGGACTCAATGGTGATATCGACTTAGTTCGTCTGGTTTCAGAACAGCCGGACCAGCCAGAGCTTGGATCGGAGTCTGCAAATGAAACAGCACCTGCCACTCTGGGCACTGGCACTGCTGCGCCGCCTCCTTGCGTTCATTTCGCACCTCTGAACTTCGATCTCACTCGCGGCAATGACATGTTCAAGCCGATAACTCCTGCCGCCACTCCTTGTTCTGGGGCTCCTCCACCTCCGAAAGTCATCGACGCAGGAATTGAGAAGCTCCAGGCAATTCTGCGTCCATCTCGCGGCCCAAATACAAAGGGATATCGATATGCCACCATGAACAACGTCTTACGTGGTCGTCTCGAGCTTGTGCTCGCATTTCTGCAACTGTACAAATCGAGTGGATACATGGATTGGGGAACTCAAGCTGATCTTATTGCCAAATCTGCCGGTGCTGGAGTCTGGATGTCGCGTCGCATTCGTGAATGGTCCCTGGCTTTCATGGAGGACGAGACACTGCCGGTGGCGGAATATGGGAAATTCAATGGCTGTGTTCTTGACGATGAAGACATCTCGCAAACGATCTCTCTCCAGCTCCAGACACTCGGACCTTTCATCTCTGCGCAGAACGTTGTCGATATCACGTCTTCGGAGGAGATGCAGCAACGTCTCAAGCTCAAGAAACCAATCTCAGTTCGGACAGCGGAACGATGGATGAAGCGGCACGAGTATCGATGGACTTCCCGCCCGAAAGGGATGTATTCCGATGGCCATGAACGCGAAGATGTTGTCGCATATTGCCAGAATGTGTTCTTGCCTCGGTGGCGGGAATACTCGAAGCACACCCGCAAGTGGACCAAGGTCTCTGCGCAGAGGAACGGTGTGGATGTCGAGGTCACGGAGGATCACAAGCGGACAAAGAAGGAGGTTGAGGAGAGCAAGTGGGAAGAGTGGGAGGAGGATGCGGAATGCGTGTTTGTGGCAGGACCCGATGGGCGCATTGTTGTTATCTGGAGACACGACGAGTCAATCTTTTATGCGCATGATCGACGAACTCTTTGCTGGGTTCTTTCCTCCGAGACCGCGAAGCCATTGCCAAAAGGGGAGGGGAAATCTCTCATGTTCATCGCATTTGTGTCTCCAGATCACGGTTGGGCTGCTCGCATGTCGATTCGACCAGGTGCCAATCGAGATGGTTATTACGGGAACAAGGAGATCCTTGAACACGCAACAGCGATGATGGACTATCTGGACGCCAACCATCCTGACGAGAAGCATGTTCTTGCTTATGACAACGCCACAAATCACACAGCTCGCGCCCCGGATGCTCTCTCTGCTCGGAAGATGCCCATGAACACACCTGGAATCGACAAGAAGACAAACACGCAGAAGAACTGGTTTGCTAAAGCCAAGGTTGATGGAAAGGATGTCACCGTTTGCATGCGCAATGCTTCATTTGCGAACGGCAAGCCTCAAGCTCTGTACTTTCCTCAAGGTCATCCCAAAGCTGGCATCTTCAAAGGGATGCGCGTTCTGATCCAGGAACGCATTGCAAAAGGCGCGAATCTCCCAGACCCCTCAAAGCTCAAAGCCGAATGCAAAGGCTTCAATTGTCCTCCGGGTCGCACGGATTGCTGCTGTCGTCGGATTCTATTCACGCAACCGGTGAAATGCTGAGGGCGTGCTCACTAGTGAATCTACTATGAAAGTAAACCCAAATATAAACACGTTCACACTCCTCGTAATCAGCTTCTCAGTGTGTGAAAGATGCGAGGGCTTCGGGGTGGACAGAGCACCAGTATCACAACTCTCAATAGACGCAGATCCAATAGTCGCGGAGACGGAGTCGACGACAAGAATATATATATATAGCAAACAATGGTGTCTCAACTAATATCTTCTATACGACCACAACCAACACTAATCCAATCCACAACAACAATATAACAAGTCAGAGCTTAATACGAAGTATTAAGATCCCTTGTAGCGACAGCGTCCAGATGGTGACGCAAAGCCTAAATATCAAGTCGACGCACTGCCAACTGATACAACCAATATACTGAGTCGACGCACTGCCAACTAGTAGAACCAAAATGTCAAGTCGACGCACTGCCAACTGACACAACCAAAAGTACTGAGTCGACGCACTGCCAACTAGTAGAACCAAAATGCCGCGTCGACGCACTGCCAACTAACAGCCAATATCCAATGTCCAAAACCCGAGCACAACTTGTCGACGCACTGCCAAGCAAGGAGTGTGGAACCAAAGTTCTCAAGTCGACGCACTGCCAACTGACCAAAACAACCCGAGCACAACTAGTCGACGCACTGCCAAGCTAGAGGTGTGGAACGATCTCAACAAAGCCCGAAGGCGACGACACTAAATGCCGCGACAATACCAGATGCGGCGAACCCGACTTTCTGATATCTCAACTCAAACTCAAATCACAGTAGCTACAAGTGCTCAGGGAGCAGCTCGTCGCGACCGGGCAGGGATGGCAGAACTTCTTAGGGTGGAATCACGCGACACGCAAATTGTACAAAACAATCTGAAATGAGAGTGATTCACAGTCCGGGGGAAAGCTCCCCTAATACAAAGAGACGACGTGCTACTTATACTGTCTACGACGCTGCTTAGTAAAGTCCTGTACAACTGCATAGTAGCTACGCTATCTAAGATCGGTTGCCTTTTAGGGTAATTGAAAGTTGAACGATCGGACAGGTCCTGAGTGATCAGGACCCCGCCCCATTGTCCATATGATACTTTTGATGTGGGCCAACTCACCGCGTCATACTTTTGGAATACGACGTGCTGGATTGGCCAACGGGTATGTCTTGGCATGTGAGACCAACGTGGGCGCCCCAAGAAGCCGTATGGCTCTAGGCACGCCAATCGTCTCCCACATGGCTCGGTTCACGGATCTAGCCGTATCGATTTTAGTGTGTTTGAGTATGGGCGCGACTCGCCGTGACACTTGGAAGTGTCACCGCGACGCGTCCACAATGTCCCGTGATCGAATGGATCCTGACATGTGACAAGTCGTCGTCGTGGCATGATCTGAGGAAACGTCCAACTCAAAACCGGGAGTTGCCGCGACAAGATGGTTTAAGTCTTGTAACGCCAAGTCCTGTCCAGTAGTAGTTCTATTATTGAGAACGTCGCGCATTGCTCAGCCCTTCAGCCCAAGTTCCCATCTGCAGAGAATGTCCCTTTTCGAGAAGTCGACGCAACGACAGATCCCCTTTCTGGGGAATGGTCGCGGTCCAAGCGTTCGTCACTAATGGCCCTGAGCCTGGTGTAGACTCATAAGACCAGTTCCACAGTAGTGGTCTGACTGCTTTGCTATCGTCGACACTATCCACAGTCGTCGACTGGGCAGTAGACCCATAAGTCCTACTGAGCGCAACACTGTTAACCGCGACACGATACACCGAGTGGTTCAAGAGTAAACTCTGTAAAAAGCGCAAAAATACGCCCTTACAGAGCTGGTGCAGAGCGCGTCTGGTAGCCAGCCTATCATCTCCCAGGAACACTAATTTTGACCTCCTGGTCAATCCCGCGACAGTCTCACTGCGTCAGGTCTAAGTCCAACAGTCGACGTCTCGTTTATTTATTATTAAAGCCGCGGAGACATAGAGTTATGTTCCCACGTCTTATTCATTTGGTTGTTCGGTTCCTTCCGTGATCTGCCGCGATCAAACTTCTTCCGGCATGTTCACCATATAAATGCCCTCAATTTTCAGGGTCGAGAGTCTCCCTAGTACGAGACACTCTTGCCTTTTGACCACCATGTCCGCGCCCGACCAGAGCCCCCGCCCCCAAGACACCAACCGTGAGTGACGCCCAAGACGGCTACCGCGACTTTTCAACCACGCTAACCATCCATCAGCCGTCACCGAATCAGCTGTCTCGGGAGCAAACCTGCCTGCCATCGACTGGCGGCAGTTCATGCCGTCCGTCAAGGTCTCTCCCATGGCTTGTCGACTCAACTCACCACCTGCCTAGCCCCGAGGCCTACAACCAGATGTTGCGGCAGATGGCCGTCGACGTCCGCCAGATCCAACAGGTGAGCTCCGTCTTAAGCCCGCTGGAGCGAATAGTCACGGCGATCAATGATTGCCGCGTCTGTTCGCTTTGGCCTTCCATTCTTTTCACTAACGTAAGGGCTAGCCGGCGCCTGCGCCCTTGACCACCAACGCTCCAGTCGAGGAGTCGTCGCCGCCCAAGAAACGCAAGCGAGTCGTCGAGCCCGTACGTGTAATCTGTTTCATTCGTTTACTATGTTCTGATCGACCCCCAGGCGGCTCCAACCGAACAAGTTGCCGCCCCTTCGTCGTCCCGGCCTGCCAAGCAGAAGGGGAAGGGTGACGGCTCCAAGCCGCAGGCCCCTGCCGCCGTCGCGGGCAGCAAGGTCGCCGTCGCCAAGAAGTCGAGCGAGAAGCCGCAGGGGAAGCGACCCAAGGCGACTCCTGCAAAGGAGCCCAAGGCATCGTCGCATGCGCCTACTCGTAAGTGGCCTTTTCATTCGGTTCACCGAAGTCGCGGGCACTGATCTATTGTAGCCGCTACTCCGGTCCCTGTTTCACAGGAGGCACCCCCCAAGCGCGTCCCCAAGAAAACGCACGCAGGTGTGTGCACCCTATGTCTTATTTCTTTGATCCTGAGACTAACCACTTGGTCCCTCCCAGCCCGGATCCAAGCACAGCCCGTGCAACCCGAGTCCCTCAGCGATGAGGAAGCCGCCGCCGTCGCCGACACTGCGATGGATGTCGACGACGAGGGGGTCCAGGAGGGAGACGCGTCATCGGCCGACGAGCTGGCCCTGCAGGTAAGTGACCCAGTTCGTCGATCGCGATTCTTCGTCTCATGGTTGGTTTGTTTTTGACAGGGGCCCAAGTCCAAGGGGAAAGCGCGATCGAATTTGAGTGCGTTCTTCCTCTTGCCCCCTCTGTCGATTACTCACACTTTCGTAGCCCCGTCCGTCATTGTCATGGACGACACTTCCGAAAGTGGGGAGGAGACCGGTGACTTCGTTGTGGCCAAGAAGCAGGTCAGCGAGACCCGCGTCAAGCCCAAGGTAAGCCGACTCCTCTTTCCCAGACCACGCCCCTTAATCCAGCTTTTTAGCCAATCAAGAAGGTCGCGGACGGATCGTCCAAGTCGACCAAGTCCGTGCCTCCCCATCCGGTGCCAAAGGTGGAGGCCAGTCGCAAGGCGAGCGCCCCGCGAGCGACGACTACCCCGACCCCAGTGGCTAAGGTGAGACACTAATCTTGGGTTCCAGACGTCGACTAATTCGTTTTTCTTTCTTTTCTAGGTTGCCCAGGCGGCTCCCGCCGCTACCAAGACTCCACGCAGTGAGTTGGGCAGGGTGGCCGCGACCCTTGGTCGCGAGCGGAGTGTTGCGGCGGCCAAGGCCGAGCTCAAGGCTCAGAAGGCAGAAAAGTCCGTTGCGGCGGCCAAGAAGAAATCTGACTCGGTGAGTCGCGACTTTTTCTTGTCGTCGACTTTTTACTGACTTGACTGTTTCTAGACTCCTGCGAAGGCGTCGGCCCCCACGCCCCGAGCTCCGTTCACTCCCGCCGCCTACGACACCGAGGCGCTCCTTTCGGTGGCACGCCAAGGTTTCGCGGGGAAGTTGGAAAGGGCCGGCGTCGAGGTGCCAACTGACTTCGTGCGTTCCTCTATCTTTTTCTGCCATGCCTCGACGACTGACTTCCTTTTTCATAGGAGGTCGCGCCAAGGCCCTGCGCGATGTGCGTGACGCGGCAGCGCGTCTGCTTCAAGAGCGTCGACGGGCGCCACGGCAATCGGTGCGCCCCGTGCGTGCTCTATAAACAGACTTGCACCAACGGCTACAAGCCCGCGGAGCAGCTGTATATGGGGCAACGCTTCGGGTACATTGCGCAGATGAGCGCGGACGGTAAGAGTCCACTCTTATCATTCATTTCTATTTTTGATCGTTTCTGACGACGTCTTCAGATCTCAACAAGTCCGCCAACCGTCTCGCCGACACCTTGGACGCGTACGGCGGGCTTCTTCGCACGGCCAACGAGATCCGCGTCCTGGCCATTGGCCAGTTCCGTGATTTCGTTGGTCAGCTGAAGGAGCACTTCGACGACGGCTCGGACGAACGCATCAAGGCGATGTTCGTCCACACCGCGACCGAGATCGACGCCGCCGAGTTGGCCGACATCCGCAAGGGTGTTCGGATGATCTTGACCCACGGAGACTTGTTGGATGGCGAGGCGAACGAGCGGTTCGCGGCGCCTCCCGCCTTCTTCGATCCATTTTTCTATCGCGAGATGGAAAAGATGGAGAAGCAGTTCCAGAGGGAGATCGAGAAGGCCCAGGAATTCGACCAGTCGGACCCCGCGACCGTCCAGGATCAAGCGTTCCAACCTGGCGAGGACCACGAGATCGACGTCGCGCACTTGGCGAGTAGTCGCACCCGCGCGCCCTCTTCGTCGCCCCAGCCTTCGCCATCGCCGCCTCCTGTTGCGTCGTCGTCCCAAGCCGTCTTACAGGTCTTGGACTTTTCCGACAACTACAGCGAGACCTCGGCCGAGTCCACCAAGGCCGCTTCGGATGAAGACGCGGAGGGTGAAGAAGAAGACGGGTCTGCCGGCAACGAGAACGCCGACGACGGGAAAGTCGACGACGAGAACGTCGAGGA